GGGGTCTTTTGCGGAGGCATTTGAATAATATGCTTTCTTGCTCTGGGTTCAGCATTGATTAATTAATCCATTGCTAATTATCTCATTGAGAGGTTCGATCGGCTCATTTCCTGTTGGCTTTGGTCTTGTTTGCTGATCATGTTTACCTCACCTGAGAGCATCTGAACTCTGCGACTCCTGAAGGAAACATGAGAACTAACCAGACGTGACCTTGTGTGAAAAATTAGCATAATGCAATTAACAGCAGTCTGACATAATACATGCAAACAAACATTTGCTTATTTCTGATATGATAGACAGATTCAAGGTGTTTGTCTATGCAAGACTCGCTGTCATGATGTTGGTGTTACTGATGGCTTTAGCTTGTGTTTCTAGGTGTTTGTTGTCATAAGAGTAAATATGAGGAAAAGTAGTAAGAAGTAAGAAGCTTTAAGGTCTCCCTGCAAATTTCAATCAAAATAAAAGTTTGATGGTTTAATGTTTGAAAATTAAGCCATAAATATCAATTGTACATAAAATATGATTATTAAGTTTTTCTTAAATACTAGATTGTCTTACTTTACAATGAAATATTACAATAGAAATATTTCTTATTTTGTATATATATATATATATATATATATATAGAGAGAGAGAGTAATAATAGTCATTTTAATTATTAATATCATTAGTACAATAAAAAACATGATTATTATTATTATTATTATTGGTATAATGACAGGAGTAATAATTATTATTATTATTATTTTTGTTATTGGAATTATTATTGTTATTATTATTATAAAAAGTCATATTATGTCAGATTATAATAAATAAATGTATTTAATATTATAGTGCATAATGATAGTAATAATAATATTGATTATTTTACTTATTGGAATTATTATTATAAAAAAGGTTTGTTATTATTATTTTAATTATTATTGGTATAATAATATAAAAAATTATTATTATTATTATTATTGGTATTATAATAATGATAATAATATATTTATTATTATTATTTTGTGTAATAACTTTTTATATACCAAAAATAAAACGGTGGTGGTATTATAATAATAATAATAATTGTTATTATTCATTTATTAGTCATACTGATAAATAATCACAAAATTTTGGCGCAATTGTTTTTTTTTTTTTTTTTTTTTTTTTTTTTAAATCACAATTAGATTCCCCCGCCCCCAAAAATTGAGTAGCCCTAGAAATATGGATGCTTGACTGGGCAGATAACATTTATGAATATTCTGTTATTCAAAACAGATCCAAATTTATTCAGATTGCATGTTCTCCTGGCAGAGGTAGTAGAGTAAATATTTTTTGGAGTAGCATACAAGCATACTACTTATGCTATTAATGCATTATTTAGTGTGTGTAATGTGTGAAATTGCACTTTTCAGGGTCCAGTCGTGGTATCAGTGTGCATGTGATGTGTTAAGTGTACTTACTATGAAGCACTGCACTGTGTCCTCATTCAGACTGATAACAGCGGCTCTCCCCGATCGGGGCAGATGAGGGTCGGGTCAAAGGTCAGGCGCTCCATCTCGTCCCAGTTGCAGTACAGATGGAGAAGCAGCAGGAATGTGTTTGGCATGGGGCCGCTGGACCTGTTCCCTGTCCTGGAGCCATACTTCACGGTCTTAACTAAACCCTGACCAGCATGCTCTGATTACTAATTTGACATTTAGCTGATGCTTTTTGTTCAAAGAAACTTATACCGTTCCAACTTTCGTCTGTTCATGCTGAAAGTATAAGCTGTGCTATGGCTAGAGATGCTGTAGATTTTTTTTTACCACTGTTTAAAATGTGGGGTTTTAAAGTTTTTTGAAAGAAATCTCTTGTGCTCACAAAGGATGCTTTGTTTTATTTGATCAAAGATCAAAAAAATCATGAAAGATTATTACTATTTAAAGAACTGTTTTCTATGTAAATATATAGTCAATGTATATTATATTCCTGTGATCATTCAGCATCATTACTCCAGTCATACTTTAGTGTCACTTGATCCTTTACAAATCATTCTAATATGAATATTTTCTGATTATTATTATCAATGGTGAAAACAGTTGTGTGGCTTTATATTTTTGTGGAAACCGTGATACAAGCGAAAGTTCAAAAGAATAGCATTTATTTGTAATATAAATCTTAAAAATCATTAGTGTCACTTTTGATCAATTTACAGAGAAAAAGATAAATTAATCTTACTGACCCCAAACTTTTGAATGATAGTGCAAACACCACCAATTATGACTATTATTGCAACACTCAAAATACACAGTGAAAATGGAGAAAGTTATTGCCTGCTAATCTTTAATAAAAAATCATAGAAAGTAAAAGAAATGGACACAGTGACCCCGTTGATTTCAACCATGGATAAAAATGCGTTTGGGTTTCCCAGCAGTTTTGAAATATTTCCGGTTGAAACAGGAAGTTGGGTTTTTATAATGTTTTTTTTTTTTTTTTTTTTTCAATCGATCTCAGAACATTGTTTTCGCTTCTCCCATCCAATAAATCGTAATAAGCTTTGAGCTTTGTTACTTTCGACATTAAACAAAGTCTCAGATTTAAAATTATGTCCATAGAAATTCGTACTAAATACTAAATAAGTTTTGGCGCTCTGACGTGAAATCTCGCTGTTGCCGCCGCCTGAGATCAAGAGAATCAGCTAAACGGATCGTCTCTTCAGCCATGAAATAAACATGATTGAATCTGAAGGTATGTTAAAACATACAGTACAACTTATAGAAATCCATATCGTGTCTCATGAAATCGCTTAAACACTGTCTCAACGCGGAAAGACGTGAATAAAGCAGCTTGATGTCACGTAACGTCATATTTAACGTTACCTCAGAAAAGCCATTCATTTCATGCCAACATTTAACGAATTACGAATTGGAGTAGAAACATAATTATGTAATTATAAAGTTAATATTTTAACTTTATTAGCCTATTATAAAAAATCTTTGTGTGTAATTTGTGTTAGTAAACAAATCAGTTAACCTGATTAACCTTAGTAATGCTGTAACATACCAACTGACCTTACGTTATATTTTTTTTTCCTTGAGAAAATGTGCCATGTTGGCCTAACTTACCTGATTTATATCCAATATATATATTTATTTTAATTAAAAAAACAATATATATATATATATATATATATATATATATATATATATATATATATATATATATGGAGAGTATTTATTTAAAATACATGCACATGCATTGATTAAAATGCACACTTCTTAATAGTAAGCCTAAAATGTTTTTAATAACATTAGTAAGGAAAGTATGACATCTTTAAATGCAAGATATTTAAAGTGTAAATAAAGTCGCAATATTTCCACTTTAGCACAATCAAATATACTTCAGTATATCTTTAGTTGGACCTAAGCACTAATTCAGGCTAAAAGTACAAAATTAGTTGTTCCAATTAGCATACTTTATATAAATTAAGTATACCAAAAAGTACAATTGCAGGGTATTTATTATATTAAGCACATACATATGTGAATGTATTTGTAGTAATGTTATACTTAGCATAAAATCAATGTATTTCACATACATTTTTGGTATATTTTCACTAGGGCTACACGTCAGCACTCTTGTTTGTTTTGTATGCTAAACAGTTTTGGTGCAAAAATGCAAAAATTTTGGTGTCCAAAATGGTCCATATTGTGTAGGATAGAACTGGTATAGAAACCATGACTAACCAGAGACATCAGATATCCATTAGCTTTCCTATCCGCTGGAGCGGCCAACAAAAGCAGAAACATGTTCTCCTTCTCTTGTCTTCCTCTATCTCGCACTGGCTGCATTAACATTCCTTTGAAGCCTGATTCCAGTGCAGATCATCATCTTCCTCAGCGTCCTTATCTGTCGCTCCTGATCTCGTGTTTGAACTCGTCTCTTTAGCTCAGCGTGTCGCTGTATCATGATGAAGGTTTGCACGATACTCTTTGCTCCAGGTGGGCTCTTTAAACACAACATGAAACCAAACTTGACTTCATCTTTCTTTCTTCATTCATTCACATTGCCGCTCTTATTGTGAAGGATTCAGTGTCGAAGATAAGCATCATGTTGACCATATGGCTCATTCAGAGCCTGTGGGCTGATTGAATGAAACTGATCACATGTGTTACACAAAAAACCAAAATAGCTTTTATAGATATATAGATATACACCAAACTTTCCAGTCTTGCACCTGCTTATATTATATAGACATTTGCAGAGGGATTCGTAAATATATTATTCATAGCCTGATTTATATAACATTTTATTCCAAAATCATTTTAAGGCTATTGACAGGATAACAAAAGTAGATATCCATAAATCTCTCTGTAATTTTAAGAAAGAACAGTATATGATGGTACATGATAAACCAAAATGTATTGTTTGTTTGTTCAGAAGTGGGTGTAGTAATGGAGTAAATTACCATAATTTGATACCCATGCAGAAAAATGATTATAATGATATTTTTTGCTAACTTCTCAGCTTAAGTGAATTATTATTTAACCTTTACATTACTGTTGAACCATGCACTGTAAAAAAATATTGTTGGTTCAACTTAAAAAAGTAAGTAACCTGGTTGTCTTCAAATTTTAAGTTCATTGAACTGGAAAAAGTGAGTTAATACAATGAAGGAGAATGATTTAATCATCAGAACCTCAAAATTATATGTTATCTGAACTAAATAAATTATTTAAGTTGATTTGACAAAAGAAAAAAATGTTGTGATTACTACACTGTAAAAAATATTGTTGGTTTAACTTAAAAAAAGTAAGTAACCTGGGTTGCCTTAAAATTTTAAGTTGATTGAACTGGAAAAAGTGAGTTAATACAAAGAGGGAGATTAATTTAATCATCAGAAACTCAAAATAATAAGTTATCTCAACTAAATAAATTATTATAAAGTTGATTTGACAAAAGAAAATATGTTGTGATAACAAATCTTGAAAATTTTTCTTACAGTGTGGAATTAATAAAAATGTACAATAGTAAGAGCTGAACTGTTGCCTCATTTATCCAATTTCCAACACCATGGAGAAAGTGGGCCGGTCTTGGGCCTAAAACTCCCGGGCTGAAAAGTGGCCCCACTCCGGCCCTTCATGGTAGTGAACATACCTCATACACTGTAAAAAATATTGTTGGTTTAACTTAAAAAATGAAGTAACCTGGTTGCCTTAAAATTTTAAGTTCATTGAACTGGAAAAAGTGAGTTAATACAATGAAGGATATTGGTTTAATCACCATAAACTCAAAATATTATGTTATCTGAATTACATAAATTATTTAAGTAGATTTGACAAAAGAAAAAATGTTGTGATTACAAATCATGAAAATATTTTTTTACAGTGATCTGCTCATTGAATGAACAATATCTACTGTACCTTTATGTAAACAGCATTTATAACCTTGTTTTCTATCATCTCTGTTTGTGTTGCAGTAAGTGACAGCTGCTTTCGCAATCTCGCTGAGGACCGCAGCGGGGTCAACCTCAAAGACCTCGTGCACGACCCTTCCTTGTGAGTGACCACCACAAAACACACACATTTTTCACTTAAAGCGTCTCCCTTGATGCTTTTCGAGTTATTTAAATCTTGCTATTGTAATATTTGTATTTCTGTAACGCGCTGAACGGCTTCGGTGGCCTGTTAGCTTCACTGCTCATATGATGAGACGTTCACGTCATGCTAATCACTTAATGCTCGTCAGGAGTTCAGGCTGTTAAACATGCAGAACATGTGCTTGCATTGAACCCTTGATGGATATTAATGTCAGAACGACTCAATGTCACACTGCGCTGTAACTGTAATGAAGTGTCATTGTACATGAATGAAATGTGCGAGATGCATATCAAACAGTGCAACCACATCCAAATACACACAGAAAATCACATTATCTTATACTTTATATATCAACTCTTTCCTTCCGTTTTTCACTGTTTTACGGTAGGGGGCGCTATTACGCATCTCGTTAAACGAGTACAGAATATCCTGATCAAAACACAGGCGAAGAAGAACGATATCATATGTAAAATAACGTGAATATTAACATGTAAATGTCATACGGCTTCAGAACGACATGACCGTGAATAAATGACAGATTATTAATTTTTTTGAAGCAAAATATCCCTTTAAGAAAACTGGCCCTGAAACACTGTGCTTCCCTTGTAATGAATTCAGGAGGAAGTGTTTGGACGGGCTGTCAGGTGAAATATAAACCCAGGTGGTTTAGCGGAGAGCGAGATGACAGACTGTCAGATGAAGCGGATGTGTGTTAAGTGTGAACGCTGCAGGAGAGACGGCTATCAGACGAGGACGGGTCGCGTTGTCCTCACGCGACTGCAAACTAATTGGTGGCACTAAAAATAGCCCGTGAATAAATCAGATCGGTGGCATGTGGCTCGTCTTACCCTGACCCTGGCTTGTTAGAGAGAGTTCAGCTGACCTTGAGCATGCTTTGAGGAAATTAATCTCAATTTGCATCTAAAAATCTAAAGAAAAAAATGTTTCATCATATTTTGCATAATGAAAATGAATTTTTAAGACCAATAAAATATAATATTTTGCAGTTTTACAATGAAGCAAAACAAAAAAAATCACCTATTTTTGTAAATGAAATATTGAAATGCTTAATCATGTTTTTGCACTTT